TTAAGAGTACCCTTACTTATGTATTCACTAATAATACTTATAATAATACTTATTTATATCCTAGTGAACGTTTACGCTTACAATTTTAATATCAGCCTCTTTGGTTGGGCGCAGTAACTGCATAATTTTTTTATTGAGATTGTTTATAAATATCTTAGGATCCTTAGTGATTCTTAGTGATTGTTCAGATAGCCTGTCAATGGTAAACATGTTAGAGCAAATTTAAAGCTACATTTTCGCAGCAAGCTTTCTCGCCTGAAAATTGTCGACTAGTTAATCTATTATGGAACGAAGGTTAGACTAAACCTATCTTGGATTGAGTTGTTGTCCCTACGGTATTATTCATTCACCTGGACAGCATCTGACGAATACCTCTCATCAGAGCAACATAGATACGTATTAAGACGGTTATGTGTCAAAATTATAATATAACCATAATGAAGTGATCACTTTAATAGAAAAATCATGCTACTCCTTAATTGTCAGGATTATGATTATGTTAAAAGCTAAATCTTCAGCTTTTGTAAGTTCAATGTAGGCAACCATTTTTTAATGAAGAATTCCAGCCAAAAATACCGAAGATTATATTTGATCGCTTTATCCCTTAACGTCATCACTCCCGCTCAATTAAATAAATATTGATAGTTTGATGTAGAGCCTTACTACCAGAATTAAGAATCTTTTAAAATTAAATCTAAACCTGACTTGAGAATCATACAATGATCAATAAGCTAGGATATGTGTAATAATTAAGTTTACGGTATTCTATATCTCCATCAAGTTCCTTCTCAAGGTTCCAATTTCATAAAAAGGCAAGTTTATGTATTCCAAAACTCCTTAAAGCATAGAACCAAGGATAGAAGTGAAATTGCAGGTTCTTTGCCTTGTATTAAATTACTCCCACACTACTTTCTCGAACTTTCAGTTTCGCATGCCCGTTTTTACAACTATAAGTTTTTGTGCAATTTATTCCATTACATCCACATATTTACGAAGTTTAGACGCAGATGAAGCAATTTAATCAGAAAGATTAACCCACTAAAAGGAAATAAAGAAACCCACCGTTATTTTGTTGGCTGGATGGTGGGAGGTTGGCTGCGTATATGGAAAAATCGGGACAGTTATGACATACAGATCTATGTATATTTGAAGAATTATAAAATCCACCAAGTTCAGGGTATGGTAGGATGACCAACATGTACTCAATATGTGGCCCCAGCCGAATGCCAAATCTGAAGTGTCATAAAGGCCACCGGGCCGGTCAACAACCATTCTGAAGGTACAGCATTGATACCAGTATGTCTTTATTTTCTTGCGGAACCAATCTGCAAGGAAGTTCGTCCAATGGACGAAAGACACATTGGAGTTCAAAGTTCTAAGAGTTTGTGACCCGAGGCTTCATCAACAGTGGGATGGAAATGTTTATTGGAAATATACAAATGTCCCAAGATCCAAATGTACCGTCAAAACCAACCCCGACCTATCTTGCATGCGGGGAACTCGGTGGTACGTGTATTTCTTTATGAATTCGAGTTACATGATTAAAGCAAATTACTTACTAATTACTGAAGTCGACAACTTTTCAGACTGGGACAGGGTCACGTTATTTGAAAATCATAACGCTTTGTTAAACACGTTTAAATTTGTAGAAATATTAACGCGTGCAATACGATAAACTAGTAATAGTAATTTATTCCACCGAACTGAATACTACCCTTAATCAGTTCCGGGTTTTTCAACACTTAAGGTTTAATTAAAAGAAAATGTGAAATTACTCAAATATTTTGGGCGTTATACGACCAAATGCGATAAGAATTTGAATTTAGTACCATATTCCGCTATCATGATTCGCTCCGCTTTAATAACTATTTAATGACTATTTTTTTAGCCTATCGCATCAATTTGTAGAAAAGAAAACACCAAGAAGAATATACAAATATGTAAAATTCGTTATCTGCATTAATTTATATCAAGTGTTAAGGGGCCATTGGTAAATTATGTAAGTAACGCGGGTTTTAAATAAGGTTCCAATAAAATCGTGTCTAAATATGTGACACAATGTATGTCATAATTTCTGTATTTTAGAGAGAGGTTCTAAAAATCGCGATTTTTCCATTACATATTTAATTTATGAATAGCGCATAATTGGTGATTATTATTAACCATTATTCAGCTTCACTGTATTATAATATTTTAATCCTAGTGAACAATTAGGCTTACATATAAGCTTTTCCGCTTGTACGAAAAATTCAACATGTTAAGCAGTTAAGTATGTAAATAATCAAATGAACCAGAACCTGACAACCAGAGCGATTCGCCTCCTCCCTTCATTTATGTTTAACAAGATATACAATATCTTTCGGAAATGTACATAAGTGTTTTTTTGGTTCAAAGTGTTGATATGCACAAAGAGGCTATATCTAATCTGCGTAACGGAGAGGCATTCTACCAACTTCAAGACGAAACACTGATTACAGACTTGGCGGAACAACTGCAGTTTTATCGAACAGACTGGCCTATTCTGGTTTAAGTTATTATTTCTACTGTCTTATGTATTCATTTTGATTAGCGTCTGATGAATGAATCAGGAACTAATTCAATTATAATAAGGCGGAGATTATCTGAAAATTGTAATATTTATAACGAATTACTATAAATATCTACCTTAATAGATTGATTACTTTAATAGAAGAATTATTCTACTCCTAAATTACTGGGTTGCTGATCAAGTTAAAAGCTAGATCTTAAGCTTGATCAAGTTAAGTATAAGTTCAAGTTTAACGTTGGTAATCATACTTTGATAGTCCAACCAAAAATGATGACAGGTCGTAAAGTTGCGATCATGACTCAACTACTATGGACAAAATTATGAAACGATAAATTTTTGAAGGGTGAGAAGTCATGAAGAAATTTGGGCAATTAGGTTCTTAACCCTATTACGATTGCAACAAATGTGTCATCTCATCCGTAAACTATTTCTTTAAAATTCTTAAGAAATGTTTGAAGTTTCCTTGTCAAGTTTCAAATTTTCCATCAATTCTTGATAAGGATCAAAATAACCCTTATTGAGAATACCCGGAATTTTTTCTTAATTAAGAAGAAATGTTAACCTTAGGTTTTCTAAATTTTTCGAAAGAATTAAACATATCTAGAGAATTTACAATTTCATAGTTTGTGTTGGGATTTAAAAATAATTGTGAATTATATATGTACTATCCTCCTATATATTTAGGCATGCCACCTCATTTGCATAATTCTCACTATGCCCATTTTCGGCCTTTCCATGTTGAATAAACTCTCGCGAAGGAGTCAAAATACTTATGCAAATGAGGTGACAAGCACAAATAATTTGACGATACATAAGTAGTGCGCGTGCGTGCGAGTGGAGAGCATGCAAAAATATGCTAGCTTATGTACACCTGAATTTACTTGGAACTAAATTAAATAAGGTCTTATCTAATAACCGAGAAGCTTATCTGCTGCATTTTTGTCAAGTTTTTCCTCTCTCTCCCGGCAGCACATTTTTCTCCAATCTTGATTGATTCTGCATTGTAGAACTTTGTAGAAATATTTAATCTGCGAATACAAATTATTTAAATGAATTACAAATCCTTGACACGAAATTTTGCAAATTTAAATAGGTTATTTATTCCTCACCAAAATTTAAACGCTTCGCAATTAAACGTAATCTGTACCCGAATTTGAGCTCAATATGATAATGGCGTTGCGGAGTTTACTGATAAGCGCTGAAAAGATAAGGAATCTTCCACATTAGAACTTACTCCGTAAATATATACATGTATGTAATGAATTTCAGCTCAAAAATTCAATACCTTATTCTCTTCAATTTTTAAATTTCCGAACCCGAGTTTTACCACAGTTTTGCGTAACAACTGATAACTGAACCTGAATTATATATATGACACGCTGATAAAAAACGTCAATTTTGACCCTTTTCTAATCTCGTATATAAAAATAAAATAAAAGATTAATTATTTTTTTACGTACCATTTTGACGTCGAGTTTAAACGCACCAAGTCCCAATTCCAGCTTAAGTTAGTTGACAAGTTCATATCTGAATTCATCAAAAATATCAAAAATATTGATGATATTAATTACTTTGTCATGTCATAAAAAAGTTTACGAAAGAAGAACAGGGGGCCAACCCAAGTAGATGAGCTATATTGTAACAATGTGATTTCAACAATGCCTATGTTGAAACCTAGTGAGTGTGATTAGAAGATGGCATGTCATTGGTCGGCAATGTTAATGCAACGTAAAATGAGCCATTAAAAATCACACTTTATTTTCAATATTGAAATCACGTTGAGATAACTTTTGTTGGGATTCATCACCTTCACACAACGTTGACTGAATGCGCGAGCGTCATTTTTGATAACAGTAGGACAACATCGACTGAACGTTTAATGCATGTTTGTTTCACATTGAAATCACAAGCTACAAAGGAGCGCGAATGATTTATCCGGCTGACATGCTCTTCTTTCTTTATTCTCATTCACTTTGACTGTTCATTTTTCGTCTTGTCCAAAATGAATTTTTTAGTTGTTGAATTCCCTACTGATAACCCAAAAACAGTGGACGTTATTCCGCAAACGTGGCTTATCTCGAAAACTCAGTGTTATTGGCCTACTCGTTGCTTGTCAACGAATTTGACTAAAATACGACGAGAACAAGTTAAGCCTGATCGAAGTTGGGGAAAATGTGCGTGCAGAATATTGGGACATTTTGGTAAATTTTTAGCTATTTTAAATAGTATATAATTTTATTCTAGGTTAATTTTTAAACTCAAAGCAGCCGTTTTAGCCGAAAACACATCCGATTTGGATATTAATTTTTCTACAAAACGGTCCACCCACCGGCGACCAGAGTCCAGTTCAGATTCGACAGATGACGAGGGACCACCAATAAAAGCGAAGAAAATTACTAAATATGTGATTAATTCTGTGCCACAAACTTTAAACTTGGTAAACTAAATTATTTTGCCAAAAAATTGATAACATATTTTTGTCTAATTGAGCGCACAAATAATAATGTGTTATTTGAAACAACTTCAGGCGACTTAGCAGACGTGACTCGTGCACAAATTGACCAGGGCCTCGTTTTGTCAGGAAATAATGAGGGTGAGTTGTTGGTTAGTTTTTTTTAACTAGACATACTTATTGCAATTATATTCACAATTAAATTATAAACTACTTTGATTTGTCTAGAACGTTCAGCCATATCAAATGTTGAGACAGATTCGTCAGGAAGCCAAATTTTGTATATGAATGCCACACCTTCAGGTGATGGACAGTTAAATTTAGCTATTATTCCTAACGATACAAATGTAAACCAAGATGACCAATCCGTAAATTTCGGCTCCCATCCTATTTATTCATCACCGGTACCATCACCATCGGCAAATTTGGGGTTGCAGACACAAGGTAATAATATGTAAATATATTAAATGTATAATTGTGATTAAAATAGTATGTAGTTTTATAAGGTATTATGCTAACTATACTAAGCCAGTTGATTAATTTTTTTAACAAACTTGTTACTCAGGTTTTAACAAAGTTGTGCTCAAACATTTGGCAGCAATAAAAACTGGACAAAAATCAATACTGGAAAAGTTGGACTTAATTCTCAACAATCAGAATAGAATCGGAGTAGGACTTGACTTGAACACGGAAACGGAAGAGCCTGACTTCTCGTCATTGCCAATCTTTCCCCTTGAAAGTGTGGACGCCCTTGAACAACTCGAGTCGCAATTGGCTATAGACGATGAACGGAAATTATTTGTAAGATGAAGTACTATACATACAACAATGCCAAAATAATTCATGTTTTAGCTAATTAATTTTTTATGCGTTTAGGTACTTTATCTAATTGACATTGGAGGTAAAAGTCTCGGCGAAACAGTCAAGCGAATTTTACAGAGAATTGTTAGCGAAGATCTCGCCATAGATTTGAGCTACACTGGTCTAGGAAAGAACAAAAAACCATTTAATATCTACAAACATATTGTTAATTGCATCACAGGTTCGTCAATTAATTACAAACATATGAAAATCAATTTGAATATTCCTGAAATTATTTTTCAGCTGCAACAAAGAAAAATAAGAGACTCCCTGCAGAAGTGGAAAAAACTGAGTTTGCCATTCGTGAAATAGTGATGGACTTCTTCCGGTACTCGAGGCCAAGGAAAGCAGCGGCTTCTATTTCTCAAGATTCCACCGATTAGATTATCTTTGTTTAAAATAATATAGGAAATGTCGTCAAGTAGAAATAAGCGTAGAATTATTCAAAAAGTTATGAAAATCTCGTGCTTGAAGTTGATGCACTAGATGAAATCTCGGTAGGTACGGTTGAGCTTTCGGACAATTCGGTATTAGACAATTTGTTACCAGATAATACAACCGTTTATAATGATGGGGCTCAATATAGTTATGGATTAGAGAAGGAAGCCATTAATAGTTCTAGTGAGTACGACAGTGATGAAGTTAACGATGCGGACCAAGATTTTAAATCAGGTTTAGTGAAATGGGTGGCAAAACACAAAATAAATGGTGTGGCAGTAGACGATTTACTAAAACTATTAAGTGCTAATATTCCTGGTGGGAATCTTCCAGAGTCTTACAAAACATTAATGAAAACCCCTACAAAATATAAAATAGATTTAATTGATGGTGGGCAGTATTATCATTTTGGATTAGAGCGACAATTGCAGAGATTAAGTAAAATTGCTGGGTTTACCGATAATTTTGAAACAATTGAATTAAAAATAGGAATTGACGGTCTCCCAATCAGTCGCTCCAGCAAAAAACAGTTTTGGCCTATTTTGGCAAGTGGCGATATTTTAAATAATGGCAAACCTTTTCTCGTTGGCTTGTATTTTAGTTTATTTTGTAAACCAGAAAAATCTGATCAACTTCTTGGTCCGCTAGTTGAAGAGCTCACACTGCTGCTCGCCAATGGGGTTGAAATTAATGGCTTGGTGCGAAAAATTTCCATTAAATGCATAGTTGCGGATGCGCCCGCTAGAAATTTTGTTAAAAACTGTGTTGCATTTAATGGTTATTATGGTTGTGATAGATGCACTCAGAAAGGTCAATGGCTGGGGAGAGTAGTGTTTAGCGAATTGGACGCCCCTCTAAGAAATGACCAAGATTTTAGAAGAAATATGTACCACAATCATCAGGTTAAGGAATCCATTTTATCCAAATTAGAAATAGGAATGGTTAGTAGCTTTGTCCTTGACTACATGCACTTAGTGTGCCTGGGTGTAACTAGAAAATTAATATCTTGCTGGAGAAGTGGACCAATTCCTTTGCGAATTGGAAGGCAAAATATTGCACAGATTTCTGAACGTTTAATTGCCTGTAAAAATTTTATACCGTCAGAGTTTAATCGCAAGCCACGGTCGCTGGTGGAAGTCGATTATTGGAAGGCAACTGAATATAGGACATTTCTCTTATACCTAGGTCCACTGGTTCTAAAAGGAATTTTGTCTCAGGAAAAATACGAACATTTTTTACAGTTATCTGTTGCGGTTAGGATATTATTATTTGATAATAGAGATTGGTATAATTACGCAGGAGAAATGTTAAATTCCTTCGTTGAAAAAGCTAGCGAGTTATACAGGCCCGAATTTGTAGTATATAACGTACATTCGTTAATTCATTTAGCAGATGACGCTAAAAAATTTGGGTCACTAGAAAAAATTAATGCTTTTGAGTTTGAGAACTACATGCAACTTCTCAAAAAAATGGTCAGAGGAAAAAAACACGAGCTCGCACAAGTAATTCGTAGAATATATGAGGTAGAGCAGTCTAATTTGTTAACCAAGTCTAAATGTAGAGAATTGCATATTTCGACAAAACCAAAGGACAGGGGATTTGCTTTATTATCTGGGGAAATTGTTATTGTAACAGAATCTAATAAAGATTCTGACGAAGTGGAAATTACAGTTTTCTGTAATAAATCTGATTATTTCACAAATCCCTGTGAAAGCTCAAAGCTATGTATATATGTGGTTCGAAATTTGTCTCCTAGGTCTAGACGAATTAAGAAATCTGACCTTTATCATAAAGTCGTGCTATTACCATTGTCCGATTCCTCGAATGAATATTTATGCCTACCATTTTGCAGTCTTAAAAGTGTATAATTTAAATCAATTAATTGTAATTGTGCACATAAATAATATACATAGTATGTACATAATAATTCACACTAATATTGTATGAAAAGTTTTCATAGACGTATTGATATTTGTAATAATAAACGATCATTAATTGTTGAAATAATAAATTTGGGTGTGAATTAAATGTGAATGTGCATCATTTATTTAACATCAATGGCATGTGCAAAGCATGTAAAATTCGACAATATTAATATCATCCTAACGTTGCAATCACATTCAAACCACATTGCCTCAACATGAGCACTTTTACAATTTCAATGTTTTATACACATGAAAAAAGCGGCCATCATTCACTGTGATCCAACACGTTGATTATCACATTGTAACAATATCATTCTTCTACTTGGGAAGCTTCGTAAAAATGGTAGCCTTAGTAACGCGCTTTTTTCTTATAAAATCTCATAAGCGAATTAACTTATCTTATTAGATAATTTTTCCCTAATTTATTTTCCTGACTCTTTCGCGAACCTAGGTGATATCTGAATCGACAAGCACTACTCGTATATATATATATATATATATATATATATATATATATATATTATATCTTATTTGTCTTATCTTATATATATCTTATTTGACAAAAATTTACCGGTTTTAAATAGTCAGGAGAAATATGGTCACTCTATAACTTGAATTGGATAACTGACTTTCGACGTCGATAAGTAGAATACCGTAGTAAATATTATTCGTAAGAAGTAGATAATTGATACGTACCCTCATTACATGATTATCTAAATACTTGATAAATTTTGATTTAAAGTCTGTTGATGTTTAGTAGTCCCTGTGCGGGTGGAGCTTAGGTGCGGAACATTACCCGAATGAGCCGAGTTATTTTATTATTTGACAACACTTATTTTTATTTTGACGTTTAAATTATTCAATTTCGTATGGTTTTTACGCCAAAATTAATATAACTGGTTTAAAATAATAAAATAACTCGGCTCATTCGGGTAATGTTCCGCACTTAAATTCAAATAATAATTTGATTGGGTGATGAATCTGACGTCACTTCACACAAACTCCACCCGCACAGGGACTACTAAAATTCAACAGACTTTAGTACTTAAAAACTATTAACAAATTGTAGAATAAATCACTTCTTACCATGCATAATAATTTGAAACTGGGTTACTCCACTATTCCAGATCGCCCCCACCCCCACCACAGCACACCACACCACAACCACCCACTTTATCTAAACTTATAGAAACTTTACATTTTCCAAGCACAAAATATGTAAATCGTGTCATGACAAACGTAAGGTTGAAGTTGAAATGGGTGCTGAGGTCCGTGGATTTGCAAATTTATTTCAATATACAGAACGAAATATGAAAGGAAAAAAACCTGTACAAATTTAGACACGAGGGTCAACGTCATTCCAAGTACCACAATTTTATGATGTGGTTCAGTCAGAAGGGTTTATGTATGTATGTATGCATCAAGCATGACATTATTTTAACCTTTCATGAAGTTTGCATACATATATTTATTTAGAAAGTTTTCATGGAAAAGGTATGTATGGTAGTAACTTCCTACCGTATGGTAGTATGTGGTTGGTTTCTGAGGGTAAATATTTCATCATCATGACCATAGGGCGGATATGTATGTACTTAAATTCCTGAAAATATGTATGTAATATGCACGTAAAAAACTCGAAAATATGCACATCAAAAATATTTTGCAATTGAAATTTTCTAGCATATTTATATTTTATTTTCGAACAGAGTCATGTTTTAGCTCTCTTATAAGCATACCATATTAGACTTAAATTTTAATCTTCAGTCAACGACTCATAGCGTGACACCAGTTCCATTTCGAGATTTTCTGGAGTAATTTTTTGGCGTCTATCTGAAAGCAAAAACTTGTGCATACTGAAGCTTCTCTCAGTTTCAACGGATGTCAAAGGGGCATAATTGAATGCAGCAACTTCTGCAGGATTCAGTTCCGCCGGAAGTTCTTCATCTGACTGTCCTTCTAAAATCGAAGAGATTTGTTTCAATTTCTCTAGGTCGGGATTTTTGCTAATGACAGTCCTACATTTCTCAATAACAGCTTTTCCAATATGCCCATTCACCTTGAGCAATTTGTTTTCAATTTCGTCAAGGTATTGGAGAGTCTGGTGCAATGATCCACCGTGTTCTTGGAATTCTGTAAATTTTTCAGCAAGAAATGTGTAATTCAGAGAGATAAATGCCAAATTCCTCGGAAGGTCGTCGGATTGAATCATAGTTATCAAGGTATTCACTGAGGCTGCATCGTTGTTTATGGTTTCTATAATATCCTTCATTTCGTTGAAATGTTGAGCATAGAATTCAGTAGCCTTCAACCATGTTCCCCATCTGGTAATCACTGGGTTCGGCGGAAGGGGAAGGTCAGGACATTTTTCCTTATAAATAGCGATCCTACTTGGGGCCTTCTTGAATGCAGTTTTCATATTTGCGACAAACTTATCCACGTCTGGGAATAGGGAACGTATTTGCTCGGCAACTCGATTCACGCCATGGGCAAGGCATGTCACGTGTAATAATTTTGTATAAATAACCTTTAAGTTTTTCCCAGCTTTCAACATGTATTGCACTCCGTCAGTAATGAACAGAAGAAATTTCGCTTCAATTTGATCTTGTTTGCAGCCAGGCCACAACATTTCTGCAAATTCCAAATAAAAGGGAGATTAATTACAAGGGATGAATTCCAAGTAACAAATATTCTAAACTTACGCAAAGAGTCCAGAACAAGTTTTGTTACAGTCGCATTGTTTGTTTTCTCAAGCTGCTTAGAGCAAATAAGATGAGATTTGCTTGGTTCATCTTTTTTCAAGGATCCAATTAAAACATTTGCAATATATCGACCACATGCATCCGTTGTTTCATCAACCGAAAGCCAGATTGGATTTGTTCCTACATCTCGTATAATTTCCTCAATGGCCTGTGCATAATCAGTGTGATGAGTAAATTTACAAACTAAATTGATATTTACGACAGTTATTTGTTTTGTACCTCTGCGTATATCTGTGGAAGATAATTTTTTCGGAGGGTAGATTCGTCTGGAATAGCTCGTCCGGTGTACGTTTGCAAAAAGTTTTGCAGGACTGGGTTTTGCAATTTTTTCCAAGGAATTCCGGCAGAAATAAACGCCTGGCACATATTTTTATAGAAAGGCTTATTAGATTGCGATTCAACAGCCTCGCTCAGTAGGATTTGGCGTTGCGGATCCATTGCAAATTTTTTGGCCAAATTTTCATGTTTGGAAGTTTTGATATGTTGCTCGAGCTGGCTCTTTTGCTTAAATGTGAAGTTGGATTGGCAAGCCTAAAATTACATGAATAAGTGGTAAATTTTTAGTAGTAAACAAGTAAATTAAGTAGTACAATTAACTAATTAATTATTTCATTATAAAGTTGTCTTGAAACTTACCAAACAGACAAGTTTTGCACCGTCAATTTTTATTATATTAGCAACCTTTAAATCTTGAATCCAACCTGCATGAAGGGATTTATGATCCGTCTTTTGCTTCCCCATCGTTTTAATTAAAATTAAAATTTCTCCAAAAAACAACTGTTATTATTTTAAGAAGCTTAACTCAACAAGAATATGATTCGTAGCAATGAATAACTAAACAAAAGGGCATACCTCGGCTGGGAAACATACAATGGGGCAAAATGGGTTTGTCACTCGTTCACTCGAATTACATAAACACCATTATCATAAAAACATAATTTTGAGCAAACGTGAATTATGAAGAGAGATTTTTATATAGATAACTTCAAAACATGCGTAAAAATATTTATATTTTAAAAAGCTATGAAATATGTAGTCAAATATTTACTATTCACCAAAAAACCTCAAAATATGTATGAAAATATGTATATGTATGAAAACCCTAAAATATGTGAAATATGGAAAACTATGTTTGAATTTTTGACATCTCACTTAGATAAGACGTTAGTATGCGAAGTTTCAGTACGATCTGGTTTTGTATGAAAAAGTTATAAATACATACATATCCGCCCTCTGATCATGACATTACTAAACGATACCGCCTGTTAAGTATTACCAGTTCCGGTAGAGTCATACATACATAAATAAATATATGTCGATATATATGTACACTGTTAAACATCTGGTAGAGTGACATATGTATATACTCCGTCCTGGTATTGATTTGGTGATAAATTCCTACCAGATTGGTAATGATTAGTTTCTAAGTGATAGATTGTTCATTACCGCAACATTACGAGGCGGTAATGATCGTTAATACCAGTGCCGGTAAAGTCATACATGTACTCCGGTCAATAATGAGTTAATACCAGTTTTCTAATAGTGTACTCCGAACAGTAATGATTTAATACCAGTTCAGTGGGCTAGGAGTGAAAATAAATGTCATATTTGTGGTGACGTTGTTTATGTACGCGTCTCTTAACGGAAGGATTTATTTGAAATATTAATGTTGCATGGTTTATTAATAGGTATGAATGCATGACAGGGATAAAGGACTGAGCCCTGAAAAGGTTCAAATAGGCTTAGAAATAGTATGTATGTATCAAAACTTTTTATACTCTTCCAAGTATTTGAGATAATCCTGGGCCAAATTCTTATGACCGTTTTCTGGTTAGACCTAATTATTTAAAAAAAAGAGTGTGGAAGAATTTTTTACTACGTTAAGGCATATGTACATAAATCTTCGTAGTTAAATATTTATAACAAGTTTTGGGTAATGTACATGCAATTTCGGTAATACATACATGCTTTATGATTACTTTCATTAATTTAATTAATTTAATTAATAATGTTGCTATTACATACATGAATATGCAAATTATATATAATCTTAGGATTAGTAATTTGCTGCATGTATTGGTGTGCATGTAAAAATATTTATTGTTTTTTATTTATGTCCTTTGTGGATCCATTGTGATAATCAAATTTGATAACGAGATTAATATCGGTCGATAAGTACTTGATCCTACATTATCAGTGTTATACTAAATGCATTTATTATTTTATAACGTATGCAGTTTTAGAAAACTGTATTAAATCATTACCAGACGGAGTATGTATGTATGTATCTATATATATTACCCTTGGTAATATCGAGCATTACGATCTGATGATGATATGCCAGTGAAAAATTATTGCTGAGAAACAAGTTATTTCCAATCTGGTAAAAATTTGTGCTAGCATATTTAGTATCCTTACTTCCAAACGGTTTGTATCCAATCCGGTACGAAATTACGACCAAATCAATACCGGTATGGAGTTTATTCATATATTGCAGGATTTTTAACTGTACTGGTTATGTCACTCTTTATAAACTAGATATGTACGTCTCAATTAATGGACTTTCCACTCTTCAATTTTTGTTATCTGGTTTGTGTGTCATGCAAAGGTCGGGAAGGACGAAAACAAACAAACTTGTTGCATAAATAAGCAATTGCGTCAAACGGATTAACTTCAAATCCCTGGCGTATCATGAATTAAATAATCTCGGTCATTAACAAAATTCGACGCTGGTATTCACTAATTTCTATGCGCAGTTGCTACTCGTACTTACGACGAAAACCAGATAAACCTCAAGTTCAATTTAACATGTCAAAAATGCAGGCAACATCGTCCTCCTTAATTTTTGTTGTTGCTTTCGCCGTTTCAATTTTCTCTTCAATCCAATCCGGGTCATGTCAGCAAGCTCAATTTCTCATGTTCTGGAACGTTTCGACCTGTACGGGCGCTCCCTTTGCGAGTATGACGACTTCCACGGAAGACATCTCCCTCCCTCCGATAACACCTACCATTTTCTACCGGGTTAATGGGCTGTAAGTTATTTACTAACAATTATGCAGTGGTGCCATGCCAAAAGTATAATTATTTATATATATTGGATCTTCTCACGCCAACGTGTTATTTAGAATGGCAAGTAAGCTTGGAAGTTTTGAACCTAAAGAAATTTGTGTAGCAGGGGGATGTACAACAACGATTTTGCAAATATTTTTGCGCTGTAAAAACAGTGTGCTTTGATTACGTTTCTATGTAATTTCTGTCGCTTATGATGAAGAAAAGTGGTTTGCAAAAAAATGGCGATGTCTATCAGTCATACTCATGTGAGAAACAGATAAAGGATAAATTATGTAGTCATTTACTATTCATATACATAATGCATGAATAAGGAGAAAATGAGAAATTTCTTCAAAATTTTGAAGGAATGAATATTGAACATATATTTATTTATTTCACATTCATGAAGATTGAATGAATAATCTTATTCATTTTTCAAGATATGCTTAATGCATTTGGTAACCAGAGATTTATCCATCTTTAGATCTGACAAAAGCAATAATAACGCGAATTTGATGTCGAATCACACATTACACATTACAAATCTCGCTAATTATATTTTTCATCATCTAAAATTTCCCAAGATTTCATCCATATTTAAATTGCAGCTGGAAAATTCATTTCTGTCGTAATGCTACCACCTGCAGTCAAATTCCGCACATTCTACACGGCACAAACACCACGTGCTCGCCTCAATCATCCATGTCGGAGTATGATACCCTCATGCAAATTACCCGTTTCGGGGATGCCAACCAAGTCGAGGAAAGGATCACATTCTTTCCCGGGAAGAGTTTCGACGGGGCTAGTTTCTCCGTTACGCCAAGCACAACGTTCAACGGGACGGGCCGACTCGTCCGGTCCTACTATTTCACCGGACCGAATTCCTGGATGCACAAATTTACACAAAATGCAGAAGAACGAGAAGAATGTCATAGTCCGGAGGAGGACGTGGTTCAACGTGGCTACGGATTCACGTACAACGTATTTGCTGACCGGCATCTGGGCTGGGTTCAGTACGGGTGCAATGAGACGACTAACCCAATTTCGACAATAATACCGCATGTCTCAACAAGAACGTCGACCACTGAAGACCCAACTACAGTCAGGACAAGTACAACAACTCCGACCAAAAATTCTGAGACGGGTGGAGGATCACGTGGTTTGCCACGTCGTTGTGATATTTTTACCCTGCTTCTCGTAGTTTTTGGCGCGTTTCGTGTATAATTATGTATATTGCTGAATGGTATGTCTTAAATTAATAATCATTCAAACCATTGTAAATTTGCGGGTTTGAAGTGAATTAGTGTAGAATGGGAATAAAATTGATCTGCAATCAGATTTAACTGTCACCATGTTTATAACTTAAACGCACATCTATGCAAATATGTCCATGTGCATCAACTATTCATTTCATACAAGCTTAAACACTTCGTCGTCCTAGACCTCTTCCGCCACTAATTATGAGCAGATTGAGTGTCTGATTCGTGCAAAAGTTTTGAATAACCAGCGGGGTCCCGTTGTCGATGTAGTTTGAGCCGAATTTGATTTTCAGTACGCCACACGCCTTGATCTCTCTCGCCAGCTGGGATTTCTTCCCGCCAAATTGCACCGTTCGTCTGACATGCATTTGAAGAATCTTTGTGGATCTAATGTTCACCCAGGAGGCGAGGGTATACACGCACACGTTAATGATCACGGCTTCCACCATAACGAGGGGAAATATGAGAAAGCCCGGCATCGCTATTTTTGAATGTAGTCTGATACAGACGTACTGACATATAATTTGAACCACTGGACTGGCCACTATCATCGAGGGGACTGTTCGTACCATGAGAATATACCGTTCCATATACCGTTCCAGGATTTGAATCTTTCTGTAGAGTTTGAGGCAAGTGAGGTGTTCCGAAATTGTTTGGGAATTATCAATCCGCCTGGAATATTCTCGTGGAAGTAATTGTTAGAATTTAGGGTTGTTACCGGTGTGTTGCCGATGTATAATTTAGTATTTTATATTGTTAAAAATTTGTTCTAAACAAGTTGAAGATGAGTAGGCGTTAAATTCATGACAAATAATCACCAACGCGTGCAAAGTGTTGAAATTTTACGGGGGCTTTTTTATCAGATAAATTAAGTAAATCTGCAACCTTTTGCGGCTCATTTTCGATTCATGCACAGTTTGGTTTCAAAACATGAGGGTCGAATTTTTGGATTTGCTACATAGGCATTACATACCTATACCACTTCACATCAAATTTAACTGGGAGTCGAAAACCGCTAAAAAGTTCGATATTGCACAAATTGGTTATTAATAACCTAAATACATACATATGTATGTATAACGAGTATAAGACCAAGTCATCCTCAACTCATTTACATATGTGAAACAATAATCTATTTTAATTACCTCTTCAGAACCTTGAAGTAGTCAAGAATCGCAATAATTCCGGCAAACAGGATGTGATACACCCACGTCGATCCATTACTGATCAGTTGCTGTGCTACCAAAGCTTCGAAGAAAATTACCAAGATTTCCGGTCTTGGCGACGACATCCACCAGATATCTTTACAGCTTGATGAGAACGAGAGAAGAAAGGGTGACATGCAAGGGTCAACCACTAGTAAGAAGAATATTGCGAATGGGAACGCTGGGACAGTAAACTCCAGGACGTGGAGGAAAATGTACATCGCATTTGCTTCAAACGAGGTCGGGATACTTTCTTCTTCTAAAAATAAGCAAATTATTATCGGAAAACTGAGATAGAAAGGCTAAATAAAAATATTCATTCTTAGAAACTGGGTATTTCTTGTATTACTTTGACCCGTGCAAAAAAATTTGCATGCAAAAATTTCCAGATAAACAATGCCAACGTTTGTACTAAATGAGTAGATCTGCTTTGCTTAAAACAGGCGATTGCCCCGCTGCTACATATAAGATGCAAAGGTTGCTACACAGCTTTAAAAATCTTGATTAAAATTGTTTATCTAGATTAAGATTAATATTGAGATTACTTAATCTTAATCCATAATCTCAATAGATATATTTGATCTATTAATCAATAATAGTAATCTTAATCAACCTAATTTAAGTTTTACGCCTCTAAACTTTTATTTCAAATTTGGTCAGGATTAATGTTATGATTAAATCAGGTCATATGTTACTCAAATCCTCATTACTCAGTAAATTTCAAAGCACCTCGTCTCTCAGCACACGATACATACATGACAGCTAATTCTAAAAATATTTGCGGCTGTAATATTTATATTTGCTGTTGTTTATTTGAAATTTTCCATCGCAGAGCAACACAATTTGATATACAGTCAATGGAAAAAGTATTGGCAACCCCCAAGCCAGCTAAATAAAATTGGCTAGAACCATGGAATGCATTGTACAATTGGCATGAAAATTTGTACGCATTTAGCAAATATAATGTAGTTTTCGATTATAATCATGATTTATTAATTAAAATTAGATCAACATAGTTTTTAAATAAGTTATTGCAAAATTTGCAAAATTCACCCGCAAAAAGTATTGGCAACATGTGGCCAAATTAATTACGCGAAACAATTTTCTTAATCACCTACCACATTTCATTACGGTAAATTATTAAGTAGCTTCAGCTACTTTATGTGAAGACTTTGTCTGTCTGTCTGTCTGTCTGTCCGTCTGTCAGCAGGATAACGGGAGAACGGATAAAGATAATCGAAATCGGTTTTCGCCATCATACATAAGACCCCAGGGGGAGGATCCTATCAACTTTTGGGTGCAACCGGACCACACCCCCTGGCGCCAGGGGGTGTGGTCGGGGCAAAATGAGATTTTTAGTGCAATCGAATCTATGGATGAACTAGAGTGAAATTTTGTGTATCCCTTATGTGCCACACCCCCCGGGCGCCAGGGGGTGTGGTCGGGGCAAAATGAGATTTTTAGTGCAATTGATTCTATGGATGAACTGGAGTGAAATTTTGTGTATCCCTGATGTGCCACACCCCCTGGGCGTCAGGGGGTGTGGTCGGGGCTAAATGAGATTTTTACAAAAATTGAATCTATAGCTGAAATAGAGTGAAATTAAGTGTTCCCGAGTTGTACCACACCCCCTGTGCGCCAGGGGGTGTTGTTGGGGCAAAATGAGATTTTCAGTGAAATTAAAAAACATGGATGAAATACACTGAAATTAAGTGTTCCCCCGCTGTCGTAGGGGTGGAGTGAATCTGAAGCTACTTCCGTATGCGCGTTTGCGACGGTTTATTTAGGTGACAAAATATGACGATAGCAACATTTTAAGTCCGAAGTTGTGTTGTCTGGAACTAAAATGGCGACACCAAGCGAGCTATATTTGGCGCTGCGAGAAATATTCATTTCTATTTCGCAAAAAAAACTTGGATATCGAAAAATCAATGGAAAACATACTTTTCCATATTTACTATTGGAAATGTAGCCAAGGAATATAAAATGACAATTTTAGTTTCTGTTTTTCCATGATGCGGAAGAAAAAAGTCACCTACGCCCAAACGCAAATGATGAATCAAGCAACAAATTACTTGAAATCGGAAGATTTCAACACCCAAAACCAATTAGAATTTGAGAACCAACTGTGGAGTCAATATTTCATACAATATGGTGATCAATCAAAAATCATTTCTTGAGGTTTCAGGGTTCAGTAGCCCGATAGAAGAGAAGGCTCCCAAAACGAATTAACTCAAGATATTTAAATCAGCTAAATACCACCCTAAATAGACTTCCACTGGATGAAGAAGAGTCTGTTGGTCTCGCATAAACGTATTTAACTTATTCGGTGCACGTTGGATGGTTAAAGTTTGGAGGAAGCAAAATGAGGCTTTGGAAAATGAATGCAATCTTCTGGCAGCCAAACACGGAGGAGAATGGATTATGGTTTGGGGTTAAATGACAAGGTCGTGGCGTATTTACCTGATCATTATCGATGAAATCATGACCAATGAGGTCTAAATAATTATTCCAAATGATAATTTGAAATTATTTGGCAAAAACCTGACCTGGGGAGGAATTTGATATTCAAAAATGCAGTGACCCAAAACAGTTACCGCAATTAGCAATGCAACTTTTTGGAGACCTAAGAGGTTAAGCTTGTTTCGTTGGTTGCACAGTAAACCGATGTGAATCTGATTGTCCGGGTTGAGAAAGGAGGGACTGGTGGAAAACCACTCGTCCAAAAACGAGCTGGCCAAAATTTCGAACGAAGATTAGGCAGCCATGGTAAAAAGCGTTATAAAAAGATTTTTCGAATCAATTCCAATGCATATTTCTGCTCTTATTGCGTTGAGGGGAGGTGATATGTATTACTAGAAGCAGTTTGTCGCAATAAAATTGGCGTTTCTTTGATTTATAATTTTTTAAGTAAAGGGTTGCCAACACTTTTTGCGGGTTAATTTTGCAAATTTTCCAACAAATTATTTAAAAACTGTGTTTATGTAATTTTAATCAATAAAACATGATTATAATCGAAAACTATATTATATTTGCTAAATGCGTACAAATTTTCATGTCAATTGTATAATGCATTCCAAAGTTATAGGCAATTTTTTGCCAATACTTTTTCCATTGACTGTATGGGGACGTGGTATCTGTTTTTTGAGAGAGGGTACCTTGTCGTAGGTCACATTCAAATTTGACAATTGAGTTGGCCAATTGAATCGGGGCGATATTAACCTGCACACTCCACCCGAGAAGGACAAGGATCGTGTGAAAGATGATGAACGGAAATCCCTGCAACCGTTTTAACACGGGCATCTCCCCGAAGAAGAAGTTATGCAGAAGGACGAAATAGTACGTCAATATTACGATTGACTGGATTTGGATGATGCGAAGGCGTTTACGGGATTTCGTGACGATAAGTTTCCCAGATTTGGAATCATATTCGAACGGAGAGCCTCGAATTAGGTGGGATATCTTTCATAGCGAAACATAGCGATTTCTTGGGAAGTTTCAATTTCCTAGCTATGTATTTCGAGACAGGTGTCAGGAATGGAATAGAACTGATTTTGGAAGGATTTGACATTGGGAAAATGATAATTTAGTAACCTAGTTAAGCACGTCAAAATTTGCCCGTATCTTCCAATCTGCGACAGGGTTCCGCATTTTGAGTATGAATTGAATACGTATCAGAAGAGAACGTCCATAAAATACGTTAGCAAAACAAACCGAATTTTTAGACCATCCTACCCGATCCAAATTATTAATGTTAAGGTTAACACGAAGAAGATAAAATTAAAAAACAAATTCCACAACTTATGTCTGGCTTAGCCACAATTTATTCATGTTGTATACCGACGACTGGTTTAGTAAATTGTCATCAGGTTGCGTTATCAAAATAAAAATAAAAATAATATGGCGTTAGGTATAAATGAGCTAAAAATTTGTCCACTGTTTGCGACCCACAATCACCCACCCACCTTTCTGATGAAGCAATATATATAAAGCCATGCTAAGACCAGAAAAGAGAGGGTTCATTTTTTTAATTTTCAAGTAAATATTTAGTTTATACAAGTTTCGGAAAACCGACTTGTAGAATTTATATATGCGTGTGCACACCTACAATATTGATCTGTAAGTGTCGTATCCCTTCATCCTGCCGGGATAAATGGTTTGCACGAGATTTGTATGGATGTTTACTACATTTATCACAGGATATTTCACGTCTGTGGTATATTTATTTAGAGCATAATTTTGGACAGGTTCGATTATCACGTAATCAATCTGTTGATTTTGTCTTACACGCGCTTCAAAATAATTTATGCATCAAGCCTTAGCTTAATTACGTGTCGAATAAATACATAAATATATAGTTAAAATATTATCAGAGAGAAATATCTTAAGAAGTCTGATAAGTTCGGTATGACAGCTACATAAATTTAATTGGATGAGTCAGAGTAAATGTGTTGTTGGCGAGGGGACGAAATGCTAGAATGTCAGCCAAATTTACGAAAAATTGATCTTATATATTTAACCGGATGTGCATAATATTTAGATATGTGTTCAATTTGTTGAAAGAATTGTAACATTTTACGTTTTGTCCCACTTTGAGTAAGCCCAAATGTATGTGTGTACATATGAAGATATGTAAATGGGCTATAGACGGAAAATCCATATTAATCATTTATCAAGATTAATCATGACCTAGATTAATTATGATAAGGATTGATCATTACGCTTTCCAAATAGACAAGGTTCCGCCACCGTTATGGAAACTGCTTGGTGGTTCATAACTCGCCCCCAATATTATTGCAGGTTATTGATCCACTAAAATTTACACGAATTTTACGCTATCCTATATCAAAATTGTAGTAAAAATTTTCCCTAATTCATGGTATACATACATACACAATTGTTGATAATTGTAAATTACTCAGCAAAAAGGGTAACATTATATTCAGGAGATTACGAAATAGAGAAGAATGTTTTTTGATTAGTAATGTGTGACAAAAGAAGGCTTAATATTTTTATTTGTTAGCATACTCACGCAAAATTCCAGAAGTCAAACGCAACCACTATCAATTTTTACAATGAAAGTTTCGTAAAATTGGTATTAACAAAAGTTTTACAACAAGTCAGACCTAATATGCACTGATTCAAAGGGTTTTAGAAGGTCAGCTAAATATAAATATGTACATATTTCTCAGCCAGTCTGAGGTTATGGTTCAGCATGTACATATAAACTGTTATAAATAAATCGAACAGACAAGTTCAACTGCCTTGAGGATTGATTTCTGCGCATTGTGTTCAATTAAATAAATTCCTACTTACGTATGTATGTATGTACATAGGTTTGAATAAACGTTGACTGTGAAACGTTGTCTCATGGTCGGGTAAAAAAATCAAGGTTCTAAAGTTGCGACGCAACATGGGGTCAAGGTTTTGCAGAGACAAAAATCAATCAAATTTCGTCCTTTTTGTATGCATGTAAATGTGATCATTTAACTAATGAGTGGGATATGGACATATGTATGTACATATGAAATAAACAAAATACCGAAGGGGAATGTGCTCTTACAAATAATGTTACTATTTCGTAAAGTAAATGAATTTACCATTTCGTATTAAGTAAATTATCAAGTTAACTTTCGCCTGAATTTAATATGTGTAGATTGCTTGATATGGAATAGAGGGCATTTATGTATGTACTATTCAAATGGGTAAAATTATTTTTAAGAGTGGAAGAAAGATCGAGTACGTATTTGCAAAATCGATTAATACAATTTGGCGAATTTGCCCTTATGCATTTTTACAATTTCGAAAAATATTGTTTATTATACATATACAACTTTAAAAGTTTCACGATTTGTTTAAAAAAAATTACAGCAAAATTTTAATTTTATTCCAGTTAAATTGCAGTAACGTTTATTTACTATATGAAAATAATGCCCAAAGGATTTTGAGATAAAAAATTATTCTTGTTTAAATGTTAAATTTCTAGGAAACACTGCTAATAAGTGAAAATCAATTAATTCCTCTTAAATCTACTTCGTCAAGGGCGTCGTAACCATGTTGTTAACAAAAAAATGCGGAAACTTATTGGATTCGTTTCAGAGAAATTTTTCCACAAAAAATAACAATGATATAATCCGCTAAACAAAATGATTTGATTGCGAGGTGACTAATCACGTACGCACGAACGAAAGGATAAAAGCTTTACGAAGACATTAAACGGAGTAAATATTTCCCCCGAGTTGAATTACTTGGAGGCTTGACTCATGCGTGTAGGGGACCCTACATAAAGATCGTCATTTAATAGCGCGAAAGAATTTTGCCCTTCGATTGATCAATAATTTTATTTAGGCAACTCTAGCGCGGAAATTATTCAAGAAATTAAAATCAAATTTTACTGGCATTTTTCATGCACAGTCCCAAATAAAAAGGATTCACGTATTTCTCCACCAACGATCCATAAATAAACACTTTAATCAAAGTTAAACTCTAACTGTGAATTTCCTGTGGTCTACTTTGCTCCAGAAATTTCCAGAATAATCAATTAACTCAATTCCATGCCGTTTTTGTTTGCAGATTAGTCAACAACACTGCTGGCGTAGGTTGGGGGACGTGCGTAAAGCGTGTCGATCGAAATTATTTTGGCCAAAGTTGAACTGAGGCAATTTACGCACCAATGTAGGCTTTGGTAACATTACAAAATCCGTAAATTCGGAAAACTTATAAACCCTTACAAAATGTAACAAATATTTCGAAGGATAATTAGCTCACAAATTTGCATAAACTTAGTCACATCAATGGCACCAATTCATTTTTTTAATTGTTTCACAAAGTATACCGATTGGATAATTTTGATTTAATTTCGATTGAATTTAATTTCGATTGAATTTAATTTCGATTGGAAGAATTTTACTTTTTGCTGTGATTTACACAATGTTGGAAAACTGGTGTTAAATAATTTCTGGCTGAAGAACACGTGACTATACCGGCACGGTAATAATGAAGAGGATTATAGATTAGTAGCCTCGTGGCAAGGAAAAATTTACCACTCATAAACAAAACTATTTGCTACCAATCCGACAGGAAATTGCTACCAAATCAATACCAGAATGGAGTAGATATGCAACCCTATCAGATTTTTAACAGTGCGTATTTTTAGTATGTACATAGAGCTGATGGGTGGGAAATGACGTGCTGTCTGCACAGCACCCATTTTCATGTGATGGAAGAAGGCCGTCCATTAAATTAGGGCTAATTTACCAGACAACAACGGGGGACGAATACGTGATAAAAAGAGCGACTATTTCACATGATACGATCATTTTTACAAAGTTGTTCAAACGGTAGCTTAATGTCCTGCGAAAATAAGTTTTCATACAAATGTTTGCATACTTTTTGCAAATTTTCATTTTTCACGAAACCACTTAAAGATAATAATATCAATTTATTGGAAAAGGAAACTTGCACATTTAAATCAAGCAAGAAACGTTTCAAACTATAACGATTTGTAGATTGTTCAAATATTTAAATTTGAGCAAAAAATTACTAAGCAAAAAAAGATTTAATCTATGTACACTCTTTAATCTTTGCAAATAAATTTGTGCAAAAAAATGTACAAACGTTGTCTCATAATTTTGCTCCTGGTTACAATTTTTGTTCTCCCTTACGCCCAACTTGCGCCGAGTTTTCTGTCCGCGGAAATTGAGCGAGTACGCGCTGGGAAGGCGTGGAATGCTAAAAATCATTCACCTGTCGCGGCCAAAAGCACGATGCGCGAAAAACTTGCGAAAAGTTATGAGGACGAGGACGACGAAGAAATTGCAAAAGTTCTTCCGGGATCAGGGGACGATGACGACTTTGACAGTGAGGAAGAACTCGACGTGACCTGCGCCCCGGGGAAAGGGTGGCACGAAAGAGGGCAGCGCTGCGTCCCGCTCAAATGCCCGGGCGGCGATGCTCAGCGGGATTTTATTTCGGGAATTTGCCTCATCCCGCCAAAAGAGGAGGATGTCGAGGTGCTCGAGAAGAGGAAGCCGTACTCGCATTGGAATCGATTAAAGTGAGTCATTCAAGCTTATCAATTTGGCGGGGTAACTGCATCAATGGGGGGATTTGAGATTTAAAATTGTCTTAAAATAGTCTCATTAAATTAAGCCCCCAATTTTTGCCTTACTTTATCAATGGGGAGAAATGAGATTTAATTATTGTTCATTTAGTGCGAAAATTGTGTAATTAATTTAGCCGCCAAATTTAAAAGTTTTTAATTATTTCTATCCGTACGGTTTTGAAATTGTTTAATTTTATATTTTTGAACTCTTCTAGCCACGTGTATGGGACACATCCAGCCAGGGAGGTGTGGTCGAAGGGGATGCTATCATTCCTTAGGAGGGGGCACATCAAGACGTGATCATCTTTCCCGAGGAAATATAAAAGATTTTAGTCCGATAATGACTTTAGTATTTTTGTAATGGTTTTTATTTTTAGGATAAATTGTGTAGTAAAAATATGTAGGTAATAAATATGTTTAAAAAAATCTGTAAAAAATATTGAATCGACGAGAATTTAGCAACGAATATGGTTCAATTTAATTGCTAATATGTCAACGTCAAACCCATGGTCATGAATCTGGCGCAGGTCACGCAGGTGAACTTTTGTTTCTGTACAGTTTTCCCTGAAATTTAAGGGACCGAAAGATAAAACATCTGGATTGAATACGTTTCGCGACCTCATTGGTAGTGGCCAATTTTATATTTCCATAATATTATTAAAAGGTAATGCTCGATATTACCGTGCCGATAAAGTCATTCATGTTCCCCGGCCATTAGTGATTGATTAATATCAGTTACGTAACATTGTACACTAACAATCGAACCTTTCTTCAAGCTGCACTGCGATTGTCGAACGAGTTACATATATCAAAAGCCAGACATCTTTCAAGAAAAAATTTTGCCAAAAAATGCACTCTGAAAGATATTGTAACCATTTTGAAAACCAATCTAGTAATTCTTAATTTAAAACTCAGAGTACAGGCATTTATCTTAATTGAAAAAGACATTAGTTCTCATTCATGTTTTACAATTACGAGAAAATGTATTGTGGAAACTGGTTGTTTATATCATGTGACTTTTATGATATAACAATTCTGCAATATAACCTTTATGGAAAAAGGATTATGCAAAGTGACCGGAGACAGGTCAGGTGTGGAATAAATTATAATCTTGCACAAAAAATTCCAAGTTTGTGAATTTTCTTACTTAACCATTCTCTTTATCTTTATACATTTCTACTTGAATACATATGTATTTAGTACATTGAGTAATTAATTGAGGATTATTGGATTGAACTTTTAACTATAATTTAAGTGTTCATCATCCCGAGGGGACGCGATGGTCCATAGTTCATCACACGGTATCCCCAATACGGGTCGAAATTCGGGGGATAGCTGTAAAATAAATTATTTTTACAGACCGGTATACATAATTTTAATACCAAGCGGTAGCAACTTTAACACCGAAAAACTTACCACCCTCCATAAATCATTAGTGGAAAAGTCTGCCTAGCCGAGCGTTTCCCGGTTTTTAATTTAATTGGAGAATATTGCAGATTTGGACGGGAATTTATCTTAATCTAGTTCTCCTACAAAAATACGATTATCTGTTTACAATGAACCCTTTTTCAAGCTACACGTAGGCTTTTATCCGAGTCATATAAAATAATCCGCCAAAAATGAAGGATCAAATAGCACGTATATTTATGTTGACGAAAAACATTGGGCACAAAGTTGAATTTTAAGTTTTTTTTTTCGAAACGAAAACCTGTGAAATTTTGCAATATTTTTCATTAAAGCGATTACTCAACATTCCACGTGATTTCCAATTTGTGCCTTATTTTTTTATATATAACTCGGTATAAAATCCCAGTGTATGTCAAAATAGGTTCCCTTGTTAGTTATTTGTGCAACCAAATATCCGCACTTTTAATAATTGCAAAGGTAAAGTTGGCGTCCTCCTTGCAAGAATGGTGGGATTTTCGCCACTGGAATTTGAGCAAACCTCCGGGAGAAATTGTACAGCAATCTAAAAACACACAAGGACAATTTTTACGAAAAGAAAGTCAAAATTTTCTTTACATAAGAGTAAAACCGAATTACCCAAAAAGATTGAAAATTTGCAAAGCTTGGAACTCGTTAATTGACATCTTGTTTGTTTCTGACAAGGTAAAAAATTCTGGCCGAATTTTATAGCTGACCGTCAAGAGGTAACAAATGAGATGGAAAACATTTTTACGAGATGGCTTTATATGCAAGTACCCAAATGGCTTATGTACGTCAGCAAGGAACAAGTTTATAAACCTAACGGATCCCGTGATCCTGTTAGGTAGGTATGTATGTATTGTATGTAGATTGAATTGCAATTATGCAAATTTAATTCAATCAACATATTATTTACGTATCGCAGTCAGCCTCATTTTAATTCCAAGTGAAATTTAAGTGAGGCCCTATGTATGTCTACGTTCCCTAAAGGATAAAAACCTGTAACGGTTTGATAATACATATACATATGTATACATATGTATATGTATACATATACATATACATACATACATATAAATATATGCGTCTCGTTTTGTCTGGTTAAATATGTTTGACAGGACATTTTATAATAGTGCTGTTAAAGATTGCATATTCATATACGTGTGCGTTATAAAGAGGAGGACTGCTTACCATTCAAGAATTAAATAGTGAGAGTATTCATTCATAACAAGTTCGCAAATTCAACAACAGAATTTGAACAAAATTGTCTAGCATCTTAGTAGACGTGTTTATAAGCAGAGTGTGCAAGGGCAAAAAGGCATGCCGTGCCTAAAATGCCTTTTTGCCTATTAGGCACGTGAATTTTGGCTATGCCCGATTGCCCGAAATGCCTTTTTGCCTTTTTGCTAAAATCGGGGCAATGTGATAATACGATTGCATGCTTTTTTAGTTGCAATCTTTCACACAGGATTTGTCAACATGTGAATAATTAAGTTATGCTTATTAGGGCGAGATGGATGATTTCAACACCAATAAATAAATTATGCAGGTGTATTATACTTATACGTATTATACATACTCATAATGATCATGACTAGTTAATGATCTTGTGGAGAATTTGAATTGTCAGAGTGTTAGCTTTTTAGAAAACTTGAAATATAAAGTCAATTATATTATTCTCACTCTTTCTTGTCTATAGTAAAATTGGTAATATGGTCCAGGTAATGCCCAATAGAAACATACGGAAAAAGGCAATAAGGCATCAAACGGGCAAAAAGGCACGCAAACAGGCAATTTGGCACTGAAACGGGCAAAACGGCAAAAAGGCATGAATTTTTTTCCCAAAAGGCGCCTTTTTGCACACTCTGTTTATAAGATTGGGAATGATTTTTGAAAAATTTTTCTTACCAACTATATTTGCTAAGGTTGCTAATTATGCGAATTATCTGTATTTATGTAGGAATATGAAGCGAGACTAATTCGAGCTTCGGGTATCGTAAAATGTGGCCAAATTTAGACCCCATCCTTGGAACACGCGGCCTCCCAGAGTGCATTAAGCTGTCGGTATCATACCCGTTGAGGATACGATACTGGGCTGGACAATCTTCAAAAATATAAGTATTCTCGTATCCTTTCGAGAATCAAGAAATGTACATATTTAGTAAGGGATTTTTGTTTTTGAAATTCGCACTGAAAAAATTTACTTTTATATAAATGAACATGCAAAATCCAAGTTTATAGCATAAACGAAATATGTAACTCCGATTAATCCATCCAAACACTGGTAATAGTTGTCATGACAAAATTATTTTACTTTTGTAGAAGGTAAAATGTTGCCCTGTCAGGATTTGGATATGTGACGGTTTGACATAATATTTGGTGAACTTTGGCTTAAGCTGGAGCGATTGTTAAATCATAAGTTGACAAAGCTTTTTCTATATGGGATACGATAACGTGTGTGTAATTTTAATTTTAAAATGAATAAAACAAGAACTAATTACGTTGGATTTGAATTATGTCAGCTTAATGGCGCACAACTAAATATATACAGGGTCAGGCGCGTAAGATATAACGATTTTGGCCTTGAATAACCCCGGAACGGTTTGTCGTAGCGGGTCAAAATTTTGAACCGACAAGCATGTTATCCTCAAATAGCCGTGTGCAAAAATTCAACTCTCTACTTTCAAAAATGCCTCCCCCACAGCCCCCAGAAGGTGAGACAGTCATTTCAACTTGTTCCAAAAAAAATTTCGCCGGTGTTTGCAAAAAAAATTATTTAAATTTTCTGTTGAGGAATTGGAGTGAGTGATTGGTGACAATTGACGAAGAACTATTTTCCCTACAAGTCACTAATTGGGTTCGAAGAGCTTACTACACGACAAATGCCGAAAAAAAATTCAAGAAATTTGGTGGTTTTCAGTGAGGAGAACTTTTTCAAACATTTTATGGTTGTGGGTGCAATGTCCGGTCGTGGTATCCTCCCACTTATCAAAGTCCCCCAAAAAGTGAACGTATCTACAAAGTATGATGTGGACCGTGTTTTGAAACCACTTTTAGAATAACATTTTCCTAAATTGTACGGTGAAAAAATAAACAAGGTGATTTTTCATCATGACTCAGTGACTTCGAAAACGACAACGTTGACTCAAGATAATGCAAACGACTTTGAACCTAGATTGGGGATAAAAATCATTTGGAATAGTGAAATACCTGTAAAATCCCCCGATATAAGTCAAATGGACTTATTTGGTTCGAATACTTGAAAAGAATATTTTTTCTGCGGAGACCGAATTTTTGAGACGGAGTTTGGAACGAGTTGAAATGACTGTCTCACCTTCTGGGGGCTGTGGGGGAGGCATTTTCGAAAGTAGAGAGTTGAATTTTTGCACACGGCTATTTGAGGATAACATGCTCGTCGGTTCAAAATTTTGACCCGCTGCGACAAACCGTTCCGGGGTTATTCAAGGTCAAAATCGTTATATTTTAAGCGCCTAACCCTACTGTACATACACTCTAAATAAAAATGAGAATAAAAATGAGTAAAATTTACTCAAGGTTGGGTAAAAAAGAGGATGACACAACTAAAAGGTAAAATTTACCCAACATTGGGCAAATTTTACACAACTTTGGATAAATTTTGCACAACGTTGGACAAATTTTACCTTCAAGTTGTGTCATCCTCTTTTTTACCCAACCTTGAGTAAATTTTACTCATTTTTATTTAGAGTGTAGGTATCTATGTACAAGGACCGAATCTATCATAAATCGGTCACAAATTGTCCCAACGTTGTCTCCATGTGCTGCCCGGCACACGCCAAGTATTCCATATCCCAGTAGATTAAATGGTCGGCGAGATTGTGTAACAGGACCGGCATCGAGTTTGTGCAGGTGGGGTCTTCATACACCTCTTTCGAACAGATTATCTCCTCTTCCTTAGAATTGATCCAGACTTCCGATCCGAAGTGGACGTACCCATGGATCGAGGGGGGAAGGTAGGCGGCAAAGTCGGCCTTGTTGGATACCCGGGTGATCGGCATGTTTTGACTATTCCAGTAATCCGCGTAGACCCGGTTGCCCACGCGAGGACCCCGAATCCGAAAAAGGCGAAGGATTTCGGGACAGGAAAATCGGGGGGAAGATTGATCCGTTCTTTTAACATGTAGAGAATGATGGAGGCTTGCGCAGGGCCGAGACTGTGACCTTTAAATAAAATTAGAAATATAAAGGGTTAGATAAGATGTGGAGGGAATTTTTTATAATTTTGTAAATTATTAGGAGGTATTAATACAAAAGGCGGAAATTCCCCGAGTAGAAATCTCTGTGTCAAGTTCTGCAGAAATCGGCAAAAACCCTATGCATATTGTATTATTCATAATTTTTTGAGATAATCCTGCAGGAAATTTGTGCCGCTATTATTATGCAGAACCACATGGGCATAATTCTGCATAATTCTGCATACGTTTCTTCAGAAATCTCTATGCATAAAGCTTTTCTGCAGAAACTTGAGCCAATTTTCTGCAAAATATTGGGCCAATTTTCTGCAGGACTCTGTTCAAATTTTTACTAATATAAATTGAAGATCGTCAATTTATATTTATGCCACATAATAGGTTTAATGATGGTACATAGTTCTTAGGACGAATTCAAATCCTAATCCAAATCCCTATTTTTTCGCATGTTAAATATTTCGCAGTTATTCGCCATCCCGAATCCAAATCTCATTTTCGATTCGAATCCGAACCTGAATTTGGCATTTTCAAATCCGAACGAAACCAGATTCTAGTGAATAATCCAACTCTGGCCAAATATGATTCATTCGGAACAAAGGATTTTTGGTTTGCCAAAATTGCAGGTCAGATTTATTGTCAAATTATGTAAATATTTGAAAGTACATAAATTTGCACTAAAAAAAATTGCGCTAAGATTTAGGAAATTTCAAAATCTGGTTCGAATTTATGTAAATACTCGGGGGAGGAGGAATCGGCGCAAATTATTTACAAATTGTTATGAAAGAAAGGATTAGATCAGTTTTGCAAAAAAATGTGGAGACAAAACTTCAAAGCAGTTTCCGAAATAAAATAAAATCTTTTCGGAATGAAAAAAATTTTGTAAAAAAGTTTACAAAATCAAATTACCAATTAGCACCAACGCGTAGTTGTGATGATTTCTCATTGCTACATTCAATTGTGTCACGAGTTGGGGAAACAGTGATCCAACTGCCCTCACGAAGCCTCGATTGACCCCTATTGTCTCCCCGTCCCCTATTTTCACCACGGTCCTCCCATCGTTCGGGTCCACCATCACCCAGTCCGAATCTTGCAGGACATTGTTCATATTTAATGTTCCTCGAATCGTGACAATTATTTCCTTCTCGTAATTATTCACGGCTATGAAACCGTACCTGTTCAAAAAATAGTTATTCATTCAAAATGTATTTAATTAGAAGATTGGAAAAATGCTAACTTAATCTTCATTATTTAACATTTAAAAATAAATATTTATTCATTATTCCTTTTTACTCATTTTATAGCATGAAATATGAATAATGAATTAAGTTATTCATTAGTTCTTCATTTACTTAATGTCCGTTCATTCACAAATTTTTAAGAAATTATTAATTTACAGGTAGGGTTGCCGCGGGTAGCGAAAATGCTACCCGTTACCCGACCCGCTACCCGCAGCACAACTACCCGTACCCGCACGGGTACCCGTGCGGGTACCCGTTACCCGCTACCCGTTATGAGAATTAGGTTAAAAACTAACCAAACTTCAGAATAAATATGATTTGATCAATTATTTGTGCATTTGGGTTGATATGTACTTTAAGATAATGCTATGCAAGTAACGCATGCCATAATTTGCTCGTAAATATCACTCGTTATTTTTCTAACCAACAATTTTGGCTTGCATTGAATCGTTTTTCAAGCTAAACCGATTTATGCACATATATCAAAAAATTGAGCCAAAAAATAGGAATTACATGACACTTATTTTTCCGTTGAATGACCCGTTTAATGGAAACTATTGGGATGGGATAGAGAGTTCAAAGTCCACCATGGTATTTGTTTAATGGAGGAAAAAATACGGAACATTTACTTGAAAATTAAACTTTGCCGCCGATATTTTTCTTCGAAGGGGCCGTTCAACGGAAAGATAAGTATCACGCGATTCCTAATTTGTGGCCTGAATTTTTTATATACTCGCTGGGCAATCTTGGTATGGCTTGAAAAAGGTTCAATTTTTAGTTTGATTTTTTCAAATTTTGATTTGAATTAAGTTTTCATTCGAAAATATTATCTACAAATAAATTTTTTGCTTTGAATCGGATTCAGGTTTTTCACCTTCGAACATGTTAAAATCTCGTCAGTCTTACATACATAAATACACACAAATACAAGTCAAATTATTACTATATTTAGAGCAGGCAAACTATGCTTGAGAAACAATAATTGCTCCGCAGTTTCTGGACGTCAAATATATTTGAGGCTAGCATAGGCTTCTGTGGCTTCCGAAAAGAGACTCCGGCTATAAACGTTTGTTGCTGACAAATGACAAATTTTGAAATGGAAAAATAATAAATTGACGCTTTTGTTGGTAAATGGACTAACTAGCTGCTAACTTTCTTTGTGAACTGAGTTTTGACGAAAATTAAATAAAAACTGAACTACCCGTTACCCGTGCGGGTAGTTCTCGCTACCCGCAGATAACGGGTACCCGCAAGAATCGTGCGGGTATGCGGGTAACGGGTACCCGACCCGTTACCCGCGGCAACCCTATTTACAGCTATATATTATTATTTTTTCAAAAGCTGAAAATAAATACGTATTCATTATCCATTCATTTTGTATTAATTAATTTATGTCAAATTCGCCTTATCGGATGGGTTTCTCCATATACCCATGTATCAGCCATACAAATATAGCCTTAAATATGGCGAAAATTATTCATTCATTCTTCATGAATGTGTATGAAGTGAATAAATATTTATTCCATATATGTATACATATTCATTCATCTAAGAATTTTGAACCTTTATTCACTCATTAGTCATGAGTTTAATGTATGGATAATGAATGAATAATTTATTCATTCTCCATCAAATAAATGAAGCTGAGCAGGCATGTATAAAACCGTACTTACGTGTTTGCAGATTTGTTGCGAAACTCGGAGACAAATTCGAAGCCATAGTTTTTCGATATTTTGCAAAAAATGCAGTCCCACGTGGAAATGTTGAAACAGTAGCTGGCTCCGGTGAGATGGACGTACTTCTTCGACCTGGCTAGATCAGGACCGATTGAGAGGATCGTGGTCGGCCTGGTATCCGAGGGGGGCACTAACAGAGTTGGGATATTAAACAAGTTGGCTGAAATGGACAAAGCCCGAGTCAGGATGAAAAGAGTGATGACGGAGAAGGATTTAGTGGGAGACATGGAGGTGATTTATTTAATAACCGAATTTTGTCAAGCTATTTAAACTACATTATTGCATTTCGTGAAGTGCAAGTGCAGTTTACCCTTTTAATTTTTTGCGTCTGAGAAGAACCAATTGTTCTTTTGTGATGTAACTAACTACGTAAACAATAGTAAAATATGGTAATAAAACAAAATTATGAACAAAAAGCTCATGAATTTGAGTACAGTCGTTGGGTAAAGTTTTACTGCTTTAACAAATATTTAAGCAACATTCATGAATTATGTGATTTAAAAAATTCTGACTTTTAGACCACCTTCCCTATTCTGCTCATATTAGGCTTAACACGAGAAAAGTACACTGAGAATAAAATGTAAGCAAATTGCTACTGGGCGGTGTCTATATATGATCTCACCGGTTTGGTAGCGATTTGCTACGGAATTGTAGTATATTTGCTACCACGTTTTGACTAAACGTAACAGCGGGATAAGGAAATGCTACAAGATGATAGCCAATTTACTACAATTTTGTAGCAAATCGCTACGAAACCGGTGAGGTCATATATAGACACCGCCCAGTAGCAATTTGCTTACATTTTATTTAGAGTGTATAAGCCACCTTTTTGGCGACGTAATATTTGGACGTTACCTTATCTGGTAAAATGTGGTTACCTATATGTTTTAAATATGGGTCTGTGGTACCGTGCAGAAAGGATTCTTCGACATAGTTAATTCTATATCGCTCCCACATTTTATGGTTTTTGGATTTTGATATTAAAAATATTTGCAACAAGTAATAATTTTTTGATAAATTTAATTTATTGTTTAGTACTTAATTGCTCTTTGTATTTATATTTAGTTGAAAGTATAAAAATTATAAAGTTCGGAATTTATAAATAAATTTAAGCCAAGATGAGTTATTATTTTTAATGAAAAGATTAAATTATGATTTTCAATTTTTTTATAGGTTACACAATTTTTATGAAATATTTATGAATGATAAAATTTTAATGGAAAATTTCCGGCATGGGAGGGATGAAACCTGGGGCGGACGTGACGCGGTACTTTTCGGATTTATGGACCCTCTCGCCTCCTCCCGCTTTTCCAGCTATGGCAAGCATTTTCTCGATGGCTGTAAAACGTAGAAAAATATTAATCAACTTGCAAAAAAAATATAATTCAAAAAAAATTAATTGCTATTTATGAAAACAAAGTATATCAAATTATGAAGTGTATTTATTTTTATAAGTAAAGCCATACATTTTCACCCAGAATTTCAAAATAAATTTTTAGCACCTAAAAAACATTAAAAATGTGCTGATTTTGACGATTTCAGTGATGCGTCATCGCGTTCTAAGTGAACACGAAATATGAAATTTGTAAATCGTTATTTGGACAAAATTTGGAAAGTGGACAATTTTAGACAATTATGGAATAGTAAATTTTTGAAATTCAGTCAAGATATCTTGTCCGTTTTTGCTTGACAGATAAAATTAAGAAATTTCCCTAGAAATACCAATTTGTGTTTAACTCACGACTAGCTTGCGTTTCCCAGGACGCCGATCCAGAATTGGAAGTTTCTGCGGAGGCCTTGGAATGACTTCGGTTGCGGTATCGGTTCTTCCCTTTGAGCGACTGGGGCGCCGATGTGACGAAGTTGACTAGAAGAAGAATTGCGAAAAGAAGGAAAATTTGCCGCGACGACATTTTTATAATTTTTTGGTGGGTGTAACTACGAGTAGTTAATAAATTGTATGTGCTTAAGTACAAATTGTAGTGCGAGTGGGGGTGGTGGTTGGGGGGTTACAAGTTGATCGTTGAATGGATAAGATTTGCAAATTTGTGCGAATTTATATGGGTGATTATTCAATTTGTTTTTTGTAAGTCTGCACATGCATCCGGACCAGGGTTTGCATACATAAATACTTATAATAGACGACTGTTGTTATTAAATTTAGCATATTTACGTATTTATGACTTATAATGGTGTAATATATTTTTGCGAACTAATTAAGACCATAGAAAAGCAATGGAAATTGTAGAAACTTCTAATTCAAAAATAATATTTAAAAAAATAAAAAAATTACTTCCTTAAACGTGTAATAAGTATTAAAATACAAAACCAGAAACACCAGATTCTAATATATATCCAAAAAAAACACAGAATTTTTGCACACCAGTAAATAAAACTTGAAGTTTTTGTGCAACGTTAAATCAAAAACATCAGATTTTAGCACATTTTCTGCAAAAAAGCAAGCACATTTGCTGCAAAAAGCCGCATTAAAAAACAGTAGGATTGGAACCCTGTGATATTTGTGAGGATACGAGTAATCGTGGAGGCAGCAATAAAACTAATTTGCATCCTGGAAGGCGGAAAATTGATAAAGACGGGAACGGGAAACAATAAAATTATTGTGGCAGACAGAAATATTATTCAAGTAAGAATTTGCATTAAATCCTGTCTGGTCTGTACTATGGATTCAGATATTTTCTTGAGTTATGTATGTACATATAAACATAAAAATGTGAATGTTCACCCTAAAAATTATGGCAACCTTTAAAAACTAAATGCACTCTAAATTCCATCTTCAGCAAAATATCCTCGAACATCTAGCTTAGCCTTAACTTTGTAAAGACTTTCTAAAGTTTACGCCGGATTTACACTTTACATACACTCTTAAAAAAATAAATAACCGTTGGTATTGATTCGTGACTCCGCGTGGTATTGATCCGGTATTGAATTAATACTGCGTGGTAAAAAATTTAATACCAATTAGTATTAAAATTATTACCATGAGGTATAATTTCAATACCGGTTCTATACCAATACGGTATAACCGTTTTATACCAAGGCGGTAGAGTCACGTATCAATACCGTTACATTTTTTTCAATACCAAGTTTCTAAGAGTGTAATTTAGAATCCAGGCTGCATTTACCCACTTTTCAAAGGTAACATCATTTTTAAGAATGTCTCTTAATAAAAGCCGAATAAAATTATGTTCCGTTATACGTTCACAGTTCTTAGGAGATGAATATACATACATATGAGAGGGTTCTTGACACGTGGTTGGTTTCTTGACTAACTTTTTGTCCAGTTTGTACAAAAATAAAGTGAAGCATAAATTCCTAGGAAACCCTGAGTATGATTTTTTTGTTTACAGGTAATTAATCATAATAAATGAGCTCATTCTGACCATAGATCCATATTCACAAATCTAAATCCTTGCAAAATTATTACATAGATAATTGTGCACCTTAATTAAACAAACAACGTTTTTCTACGCATATGCCCCTTTCGCTACATCTTTCAAACTAAAATCCCGTCAAAATTAGTAATGTTACAGACTGAGACACACAAAACTCTTGCATTACAAGTGGTGTCAATTTATCCACGAAATTATTCGCGAACCTGATCTTCAACGGGGCTAGAGATGTGTGTAATTTCCTCCCAATCTTCGTACTTCTTTCTTTTCCATTTCCAGATTTTATCCATCCTGCAGAAAGTGTATTTACCATTCCTGCCGAGGTTAAGGTTAGCACTGACATGAGTATTGCACCGACGTATCCGTATGCAAAGAGCGCTACCCGAGGATTCAGCGGTGTCATGGTCATCATTTTTGCGGCCATGAATCCCACAAAGATTTGCATGAGGGGGATTGCGTATGCAAAAATTGGCAAAATTTTGTCCTTAAGGGTCGAGTTGACGAGCTTTTCGAACATTTGCAATTTTCTGTATCCCTTGATTTTCGCGATGTTTTGAGATTTCTTGAATTTTTGAAACTCCAAGTGTAGAAAGGAGATGGAGGAGATAAGGACGAGGCAGCAGTAATGAGCGCCCCCTACGATCATCCAGGACATGATGACGAACTCAATGACAGGCAGGAGTAGGTAGGCTATGAGGTGGTGCAAGTCGTAGAAAGTGTGATGACACAGGTGGGACGACAACAAGGGTGCTTTACAGGGGAGAAGTATTGTTATCAGAAGCATGAACATGGCCGATTCGACGTAAAGGAATTCCACCATAGCAAAGAAGTATGACAGGCGGGAGAAAAGTAGTCCTGATTCGGCGGGGTAGTCCGAATCTGGAAAAAGTTTATGTTTAAGCAAATTAGTTTCAACTATTGAGTATATTTCTTCGGAATTGATATTAAATTTTACGAGATAAACGTTACTACTGCTGCTTGGTAACTTTATATAATCCGTAAATTTCGTATAATAATTTTACAAACATTTTCTAAATATGAAGACTTCCTTGATCTGGGTAAGCTTACAAAAATGGGTAAACCACAATTGCGATATGCAGTTTTCCTTAGAAATCTTAATATTTTTTTAAGGCTTGCACATAATTTAAAATAATTTACTGAGACTACGCAGATGTAAAGGGTTACGTTAATTGGCTCACTAGAAACTCATAAATCGATTTTCCCTTCCTTAACTGGAATCGAATTTTTTCCCATTCTATACCTACTAAAAGTAGGTAGAAAAAATTCGTTGATTGAAAAATCTAATCCATTTAGAAACTAATCAAATATAAAATTAATAGATTTAGTTTTCACCACCTTTCGACCCACAGCAATGATTGAGCAAGTGAATCACGTCGCGATCCGGGTATGGTTCAAGCCTTAAGAGGAATGAAATTATGAACGCCGATGTGAACACGATAGCCTCTGCTGTGTCAAGGAACGACTGCGGGATTGTGAGAATTGCAGAAATTTGAGATAACATGTAGACAAATTGAATCGCCATGGTTAAGCGGACCAAATTTGGGACGCGTCCAGTGTGACCTACCACCCTCCCTCCGCGCCAAGTTAGATAGATGCAACCGAACAAGTTCCCGTATTTTAGGTGGCGCTGGATAAACGACGCGAACGTGGATTTAGATCCGGCCATAGTCAGGCCTGAGAGGGGAGTGACGTGATAGAGAATGACGTAGATATTTCGCTAAAATATTTCTATGCTTACGTATGCAGACATGTGCATGAGGAATGTGTAGAAAATCTAGATTTTCCACATAACGTAG